TCGTGTGTCTACCCAGAGTGTCTACCCAGAGTGGTATGGTAGCTATACATATGAACCTCTACCTAACTCCTGAAATAGACACGTATCAACGATATAACTCTGCCAAGTAACTCTGTACAAACATTATCGATTTATTAAATTTACTTGGTATATTTATTATTATTGATAATCACTTGATTTTCCTGTATGCCTACTTAATCTATGTACTCATAAAATTTAATTCTAAACCTTATTTATTTTTGGTGAATTTATTAGATTCCTACCTTGATATTTTCTGCGATACTCTTAAATAAGTAGATGTTGTATTTTTTGTATAAATATAATTGTGTTAACGGCGGATCACTTCTTGCATATATTTCGTTATGTGGAATGATCGAGCGTAGTGAGTGCCTCTGTGAATATCTAACTACATCTGTTCCAGAATGCTCTTTATTTTTGGCTTTTTATATTAAATTTGATCGTGGTTCAAAGGCAAGAAGTGATCACCGACGCCACTATTATTTCTTTATTAATCGTAATTTATTACATTTTCATCAATAATGATCTACATGTTATAAAATACTATTATATCTTATAAAATAAATTAGACATAGTTTATTACCCTTCTGCTTATGTGCTACCATTACATAAAATTTAATTCTAAACTTAATATATTTTTGGTGAAATTATTAGTTTCCTACCTTGATATTTTCAATGATACTTTGAAATAGATTTTGTTTTCTTGTAAAATTACAATGAAGGCACGGCGTATCACTTTTCGCATATACTTCGATAGAAAAATAGAGTGTAAAGTGGTTGATCGCAATTAAACGTACTGAGTGCCTCTAAGAATAACTGACCGCATCTGATCGAGTGACAGCATTCTTACTACTATAGAGTGATATTTTAGGCTTTTTATATTAACTTTGATAGTATTTTCAAAGGCAAGAAATGATCACCGACGCTACCATTATTTCTTTATTAATTGTAATTTATTACATTTTCATCAATAATGATCTACATTTCATAATGTTCTACCGTTTGTTCTATAAAATCTTACACATTATTTATTACCTTTTATCTAACACATTTTAATTACATATTGTTTATTATTTCCTGTTTCTTTATATTATTATGCTTCTTATACAAAATTATATTGATATATTTTTAAATATTTAAAAAGTATACATATAGCCTACTGTTATATTAGTATATGTCGTGGTATGTGATTTATTAATTAAATTTTTAAGTTGTACATTGTAACAATAATGATTTACAATGTATATCATAACAATGGTGAAAACGGACATGAAAGTTAATAAAAAAATACGATTTTTGCAAAAAGTTCTAAATTGTTAAATATCAATTTCATACTATATTTAATTGCTATAATAAATATTTATTCATATATTACACTTATAAATCATAAAACTCATAATCAGGATATAAATAAGGAAATAGGATATTATGTTGCTTTTGGAATATTCCACCATTTTTTTAAAATTAAACACCGTCTACAGATTTGCATCGAAGCGTTTTTTATGATAGTAATTTTAATCACTGTTAGGTTAAATCTATACTGGACCCAACTATGCCTCGTCTCCACTGTGCTGGATTTTTTTATACGTGTCCATAAAAATTCTCAACTCTGACTGGACTAATTTTAATAATCAATATGTCAAAAAAATCCAATTTTAATTTAATTGAATCATTTAATACGGAAAATTGAAATAAATTCCTTCAAATTTAGAAATCTAGAAAAATATCTCATTTTTACAAAACTGTAAAAACAGTTACAGTAAAAGAAGGGTTCAAGTCCATTCCGCATAAAACTTGTTTTTTTTCAACTTTATATTTGAAAATGTTTCGGAAGATTTGAAAAATTTTAACTTCTGTCAAATCTAAGCTTTTAAAATATACTACAGTATTAAAAAAAAATTTTGCTAAAATATATTATTTTCAATCTTTGAAAATGTTTTGTGACGAATTTTAAATGTGATTTTTTATAAAAAAAAAAGTCCCCCTATAGTTTTTCCTATGTGTTACTTGACTTTAAAGCCAAAAATCGCGAATTTTCTGTAAATATTTGTCCCTCTTTTCATATTGCTATAACTTATATAAAAATACATTGATTTTAATAGAATTTAATAAAGTGTATTAGAGAAAATAAGATATCTTGTAGCATGCTGTCTATAAAAATCTAATGATAAAAATAAGTACAGGAAGAGTCTAAAAGTAAATATTTATGTATTTTTTTTCAATTTTTAGTAAAGAAACAAGTTTATATTGTCAAAAAAATGTAAAAATGTACAAAGATAAGAAATGGGTTTTAGTATATCATAATTCCAAAGGATTGATTGTTTAGCAGTATATACGATTACATAATATTCCAATGTATAATTTAAGAAACATTTAATACTTGAGTGAGATAACAAATACACAGAGTATTTCAATATTAACAAATTCGTATCGAAACGTTTTTAATGATTGTGTTAATCACTGTCAAATATCACATATACTTGTCTCATCTATGCTGCGAACCCACATTACTGGGGTTTTTTTTTTTTATTGTGATTATGGAGCTACGGTAGATAGTAATTTGTGCCGCACCAAACTCATTATAAATGTCATTTGTGCCAGATTTTTTGTATGTATATAAATAAATAAAATATTTGCAACTATAATGGAATATTAATCCAAATTTACATACAAATCTATAGATAGTTATAAATTGTGGCACAAATTACACAATTTCTTTATTTTACATGTAATTACATACATACGGCCCTTAGTTCAATAACGAAAATTAATCAAATTAACAATTTTTCATCATTAAAAACACCTAAACTTAATAGTATTTAGATACAAACTATATGCTTTCCTAAACATTTTAAATTTGTTTAAAAATTTTTAATTTTTTGAAATGTGTTTTTTAGTTAAAGCCATTAAACATTTGACAAACAGAAGTGTTCCGGTATTAAATAAATAAGCACTACCGTACTTTAACAATACGGGCAATTATCAAAAACACGTTATTCGATGTTTATGCGTGTCTATTAAACCGCACAAGACTTGTCATAGTATTTCAATTAATGCAATGATTAAAGGATGAATATCTTAAAGAGAATTATTGAAATATAAACTATTGTAAATCAATTAATTAGAGATTTATTAAAGATTCTATCAATAGTAATTCTATGTCCTGTTTATTTTTATTATTCTATTTTTTTTATTTTAGATTCTAATTTTAATTTTTAATATTTTTGATCTTAAATCATTTTGATGCTCAATAAATCCATGAATAATTATTTTTTTAGATATTTTTTAGTAGGGTTTGGGATAGAAAAAAACTACTTTATTGCAAGTAACCATAACTTTTAAATGAAAAAATGTCTTACATTATTAAAGAAATTATAATAATATCAATAATATAATAACTGCTTAGTCATTTAAGTATTTGGAAATAAAACAATATCGTTCATAATAAAAGTAATATGAGTACAAATAAACTGTAATATCATGTATGTAAAATTGTAATTGTTTTATTTATTTAATAGACTTACACCCATTTAAAAGTTGTACAATTAAACAAATTTAAATCTTATTATATTTCAATTAACAAGCACATAGTTTCACAGTGATCTTTCTTTAACAAAGAACATTTGTATTTCATGTTAAAGTGTACAATTATCAAACAAATATTTGTTTATTTACTACTATAACAATATATGTTAAATAATATAATAGGAGAAGAAATATCAATAACAAAGAACCAGTTTGGTTTTTGGTCAGGAAAGTCAACGATAGAGCTAGTTTTTTATGTAAGATAACTAATAGAAAATTATAGGGAAAAGAAGAAAGAAGTGTGTATGGTATATATGTGTTTAAAGATTTGTATTTATAAATGCTTGTTTAATGTAATATATGATTTTAAAAAAAGGTCTGGTGATATATATTAATCTAAAAAAATGCTTGAAATTCACTTTACAGGATCCTTACTGTAATTTATTAAAAAAAATAGCACCCCCTTTTATTTTATCCATTTCCTCCAAACTTACTTAACTTGTTTTATATGTTATTGGCTCTAGAAACAATGTTCCTAAAGCTGTTCCTGGACCATTTTACTATACAATTTATTATCAAACAGGTTCCTATTAATTTTTTTTGAATTGTGTATCTTAAAAGTGTTGAATGAAAAATTGTTTGTATAGTGATATAGCACATTGGATATGGTAAACATATTACTTTATAAAAAGACGCACCTTTCTGGATATTTTAAGACATTGAAGTAAGTTATTGCATAAATTAATAAAAATGTGCAAAGTTTCTATTTTTAAAAAAATATTATCTAAAAACTTAAATTTAAAGTAAATCTATTGTATAGTAATAAAATTGAGATAACGATACGTGCGTCAAAACGATAAAAAGCGATTATGTTATTAGATTCTTGATTTTTCTCAATTTTAATTTGCATTGCTAATATTCATGAGATAAAGAGAGAACTTCTAACGAAAGTAAGTTAAAGTTTTAATTTATGGAAGATCTTAACATTCACCAAACATTTTTAAAGGTTAATACATGTTCACAGAATCTTCTTGTCATTTCACTTAATTTTTAATTTATAACCTTATGACTAGAGTTATTTTATTGAAGTAGAACATGTAAACAAGTATCAGGATCGATAATAATTTAATAAATTTACAAACATATAAGTTAGTGCTAACAATAATTTATACTAACTTTATATAAATTACATGTAAGAGTGTTATATTTACTTGTTTTTAATTTCATCTACTCGATAATAAACTCGATCAATAAACTCATAATACTCAATGAAATTTGTATAAAATTGATCTGATTAAGAAAATTATATAGTATATTTTTAATTAAAAAAGTTGACGTTAAGTGAAATTGAGCTACTCAATCTAAATGTTTATCGATACATTTAGCTACCAAAAGTAGGTTAATGCCATATTTCAAATATATTGTACTAAATTTAATTATTAAAAAGTTTTACTCACCTTTTAATATCCATCTATAATTGGATAAGTATTAGGCAAACAATCTCTAAAAAAATAAAATAATATAAAAATTAGACTACGATATATAATCATTTTTTTGTTTATTTATTTAATAAAATTTTCACTAACCAATTTAATCAAATTCTTTCAGTAAAATGAGTTTTAATTAAATACATTTTTACATGATAACATAAATGTAAAATTGACATCAATTTAAACTTAAGCTTTCAACATTGCTAAGGAGTTTGGAAATATTTTTACGGTAGTATAACAATTTTAAATCTCATAATGCATGGGAGTAAAACGTCTTGTGACGATTAATAACTCGGTGCAAAATGTTCACCAAATACATCAGATATTTGTCACGTTTTATAGAGCGTGTAAAAGACTTCTCATTATTGTAAATTATTATTACTTTGACTGTAAACTCATATTAAGTGAAATAATCTTTAAGAGTTTACCTTTAAGTATATGCAAAATAAAATTTACTAATATACTACCAAACATAACGAATAACACATGAATTTCACAGTGGTTTTATTTCTTAATGAGTATACTAACAATATAAGTGGGATTATGGCGAGGAAAAAAAGAGGAATAAGTCTATATTAACAAAATTCAAAATTAATTTATTAATCTATAAAAATTTCAAAAGGAAATTTTTTAAATTTTACACTTTAAAAAGTGTAAAGGTTAACTAGTACTGAATTTGAAATGAACTGTGTTTTTATATATTTAAATACACCATAAATGTTCTATGAAATAAAAAAAAAAACATTTTATTATACATAATTGTAGTACCTTTTCTTTAAATTACAGAAATTCATCACCAGACTTTCACAAAAACAAAGATCGAATTTATATCTTAAGCAAATTAATGATGAGATGAGTAGGCTATTTAAAACTATCTATTAGAGACATACTTTATTAAAAAAATAACCATTTCATACTATAATAAATTACCTGAAACTCCCATTCGACAGTATTATATTTTCAATCTACACGTTAATTTTACAAATAGTGGCATAATGACATTACACTATCGAAGTATGCACATAAATAAAAAAAAACATCACAAGTTTATCATAATTTTTCCATTAGTTTCATGCGTTTAAAGATTCTACTACATCTTCGTTAAAGTTCGTACATATTTTTTATGAGAACAAGAACTCAAATCAGATCAGTTAACATCAACTCTTTAATCATGAACAAAATCGTATATTACATAACTAAAACAAACTTCAATGATTAAATTGGCCATGTATACTATAAAAACAATATCGAGACGTCACTTATTTAAGCTCACGACACATACGCGCATTTTAATGTCAAACAAAGTTGCAGTGAAAGAACTATGCGATAATTTGTTTAATGCAGTAAATTTAAATTAATTTAAGTAAATTTAGTTTCAAAACGTGGGCCTATCGGCTGATGTCATATATGATTTCTTATAAATAAATGATATATTATATATAAAAAATTATGTATTTTAGTACAAGTAGACACAAATATTGGTTGAATATGAGAAAATAATTCAGATAAAGTTAGGTTCTGTTATTTTTACATCCTTTTGTTTTTTAACTATACAGAGTAATTCTTTTACCATGAACACTTAATTAATCGAACACTAAAAATAATATTGATAATTTTATTTTTATTTCACGTTTCACTCAATTTATCAGTCATGAACAATTTTATATGTTCATCCCATGTACCTTATGAGAATTACAACTTTATTTTTGACATAACAACATACATAAATAAATAGCATATTTATTAGGTAATGATTTAATTAATAAAATAACAATCTATTTATATATCGAACTAAAAATAGGGGTCCTATTAATGAAAATGAAAATTAAGATTTTTTATGCCCGATGGTATAGAAAAAATGTGTAATTTCAAACTATTGTCGATTTTTTTGAATCAAACTTTTCCTTTAGGAAAATAAAAAATGTTCAAACATTTTTTTAGAAAATGAGTAAAATTCTTTCTTTTATCACCTGTAAAAAAATGGTTTAATTTGAAATAAATCATTTTTTTAAATATTTTTAATTCCAAATATATATAAATTAAATAAATGTTTTGTTATAACAATATCTACAGAGTTTTATAAAATTTATTGAACGTAAAAAAAACTAGGATTATATAGACATTTATATTTCTTATTAGTAAGATAAAATATATTATAAACGTTATTTTAAAATAATTTATTACATAATAATAATAGACTATTCAAAATGTGAATAATGTTAATAAAAATTCTAAATAATAAACGTAGCTGAAAAAATAAAACATTAAATAGTAGTTATATTTTGTTGTAATTACTGTAATTCAGAAATGATACATTTTTAATCGAATTAAAATAGTGACCATTTAACTAGAAATGTTTAATTATACAAATTTACTATAAAACATTAATTTGTAACTTTTGTATATAAATTTTTGCTTTTCAATATGACATGTTTACTGTGCCTTCAGGATTTCATCTACGTCAGCTTAGAATTTTTACCATCGTTAATTACATAATAAACAGTTATGTAGTTCAACTTTTCTTTTTGCTTTTATGATGAAATTATAATGGTGTATAAAATATGAAACTTTTCATGTCTTACTGCAGGTTGTTATTTGTTCCAGTTTCTTAGAAATTAGTAATTCTTATATAACTAGGGTATATTACAAAAAACATCTCTGTTTGTTTAAATATGAGTCTAACATATTTTTTCATTTTCAGATCTTCTCACGAAAATACATTATCGTTTTTTCATTATTATTTTCGCCTTCTTACGATGAAAACTGTATTATCAAATGTCTCCTAACATTTAAAATACAAAAAAATTACTGTGTATATTAAATAAAACCTTTTATTTGAATATTTTCAAATAAAAAGACAAATTAAAAATTCTACGAGTAATTATTATTATCGTTAATTAGTAATTTCAGAAGTTATTTGTTATTTACATTAATTCATTAGTAAAATACTTTTTTTATTAATATTGTAACAATGTTACAATGTTTCTGGAACAAAACTCCAGAAAGGATTAACACAAAAGGACATTTTTTACCCATTTATATTTCCCTAAANCTATTTACATTAATTCATTAGTAAAATACTTTTTTTATTAATATTGTAACAATGTTACAATGTTACAATGTTTCTGGAACAAAACTCCAGAAAGGATTAACACAAAAGGACATTTTTTACCCATTTATATTTCCCTAAAATAAATCTCACTTATGTTTTTTTCATGAATTTAGTTTTTTGAACGTCTATTTTCCAAATGATTTTATTCTAAATTCAAAATTATCTGTTGCTACTGTAATATAGATATTTTCAAATAGTCACGTATAGACAAACGTTTTGACATCATTTATAACTTTTGATCTAGCAAATATTTTGTGTGAAATTTTTTTTCAAACTTTTTCATAAGTTCTTAAAGATGTCAAAACCTAGTAGGACACTATATAATTATGATTTTTTATTGTCCAATTATTATGGGTAATAATTATATTATCAGGCGTTTAGGTTGTCTTTACAGGTTGGCAGCTGATTTCGGTAGGAGTACACGGCTATGCCTGGCACAAGATATTAGGGCGGCACGGCCTGTAGTATCGAAAAAAAAAAACGTTGCAACTCAGTCAAAAATCAACAGATTTCAACAAATTTTCTGGGTAGCTTTGGAGTATCTTTCGATAAAAATTTTCGGTTTTAAATTAAAAAACGCTTGAGGCTTTCTGATAAAATTTCTAAACGTTTATAGGATGTGTTAAACAATTTGTTATTAATCTTCGCAAATAAATTTCCTAGAATACCGTCGTCGAGTCTTTCATAACAAAAAAAAAATTGAATATTGGACATCGTTACATGATTACTCCAACATTGACGAATTTTTCAATATTTTATTGTATAATAAAATAATATAATAATTGTGAATTTATTGTTAAAGAATCCAAATAAAATTGGCTAATATAACATTATCGCTTCAAAATTATTAGTCAATGAGCTTATAAAAATATGTGAAATTATTGGATAGGTGGAACAGAGAAAACTCCATAAATTACTATTAACACAAGTGAAGACTGACGGGTTTTCATTAACTAATCTATTAAATTATGGTAATAATAGATTTCTAAAAATAACTATGGAGTATATGAAAAAAATGATATGGAAATAATTTACGGTGTATTTAAGAGGATAACGCAAAAACGTTTTTTTAAACACAAGAAATTTTCACTATAACATTTTTTTAAAAGATTAAATTATAAACATTAATAATGTAAAATATCTGTTTGTAAGCGTTCGTCAAATATAACAACAAATTTGTATATAATTCTATTTTGAAAAATTTACAAAGTTTTGTTTATTCTGTAATTTTTTGAATAAACTGATGTATTACTCAAAAAAGTTTTAAGTGCTTAATTTATAAAAAACATTTATACGTACAATTTAAATTTTATGTTTTTTTCGTAAGTGTACTTTTACGAGTTATATATTGTATAAATGAAAATTTTTTAAGTACAAACATATTTTACCAATAAATGAAGTATACCATTTTTTGATAGATGACAGAAAAAATATTTTTTATAGGTATAATCCAAAACTCCATTATTGTGACTAATTAAAATTTCAAAACAAGCCATAGAATTTACTTTACCTATAGAGAGTGTAATTATATCAAAGTAAATATTAACAAGCAATTAAATAACTAAAATCATTCAAGTTTTCTAAGAAATTTATCTACAACTATGTAGGTCTTTATTCTACTTTTTAAAGATTTTTAAATTCGGTAGAGTTACATAATAATATAAATCTCATATTACTATTTTACTTATTTATAATACTCTTAATCATTATCAATTCTTTATAATAACTTATTTTTGAAGCCTACATTTTTTTTTTTTTTAATAAAAATTTCCCCACATTATATCAATAAGTTTATTTCATTACATATTTTTCAACAGTAATAACATATGATGTAATAAAATGTATTTTTATAGCTGTAGTCTATTTACAGCACCGTAAATATTTTATAATTATTTACACGC